ATTCTTTAACTGTACAATTTGTGCTGCAAATAAATGCCAATTTAATCACAATAGCTACAAAAACCTGTCAATTGATAAGCCCTAAGAATGATATGGTTAACCGAAGATCTGCATAAAGATTTGATTTGGGGAGCATTTATTGAAACTAAGCCCTAAACATTTTTAAAAACAAAGAAATGTTTTTTTCTCACAGTGTAGACTTGACTTGATTTGTCTCTAACAACACTGGTTAGTAAGAACAGTTTCTTATGAATGCTTCTTTGCATTATTCCATCATTCTTTATACCTGCGTTTTAGACGATTAATTCAATCTTGAGGCTACAATGAAGTAATTCAGTTGCAGCTTGCGCATTTAAGATCACACAATAAATGCCTGAGCGTGTGACTAAAAGTGTTTTTTTTTGCATTCATCCCTGTTCACCAAGGTTAAAGCCCATCTGAGAAGATCTAATATTATTAACAGAACCAGAGCTACAGATCCAGGAGAATACCCAAGCCACACTTTGAAAGTTAAGCTCATTACAAATCCTGCCCTCGCTTTTTTAATCACTTGCCCTTTGTGATCCTCCATTTAAATCTCCCTCTCTGCCAGGTGTATTATTCCAAAACTGCAAATGGACCTACCTGAGGTTATTAATACCTTAATGCAAATAAGCTCTGAGGAGGAGCTGCAGATAGGATATTCTGTGCGGATCTCTTCATGGGATCATGTGCAAAGAAAGGAAAGACTTAAACTTGAAACTGTTGTAGAAGAAAAAGAGAAACACTAAGGACTATAGGAAGAAAGAGTACAGAATATACTTCATGCAACTAGTGGCATCCTCATGTATTTTTCCTTTGTGCAGTGAGATATAGATCAGGGGCTAGTCTGCACACCACCACCCAGATGGATGGCTAATTGTAATGGGAGCCCAGAACAGCTAACAATTAGACCAGAATGAAGATGGATGTGGATGGGGGGAGGGAAAACAGGGGAGAGAAAATGGGGAGCTGGGGAAAGGTGGATGGAAAATTGCTGAGGGACTTATGCTGCACTTTTACTCCTCAATTATTCCCCTTTCTTTGCTCCTGTCTGCTCTCCTTCCATTGTTTAAGTACTGTGAAAAAGGAAATTTTGGCTCAATACCATATTTAACTCTTAAAGAATGATCAGAGGAAGAATGGATTTTTCTTGAAAGTAAAACCCCACACAGGTAATAAATGCTGAACAAACGACATTTTGCTATGCTAAAGGACCAGTGACACTTTGCTAAATGGTTGGCTTTATGTCTGAGAAGGTCATATGTCATTAAGGTTATGGAGCATTAAAGAACACTACATGTAATGTAGACAGTTATGGGGGATTGAAGAATATGGCATGTCTGAGTAATTCATGGCTCGAGGGAGCCATTAAAGATCACAGTTGTCGTTAGCAGTGAAAGAGTGGACCGCACAATGGTAATGGCTCTATCATACACCCTCTTAACTGATCTTCTAAAGTGTGAGACAGCCAACCTACAGGCAAAGAGCATTAAATTAATGTGACATAACGTGTAATGAGCTGAACACATGTCAGCAGCAGTTTTTATAAAAGGCAGTAAAATCCATTCCAGTTGGTGCAGATTGCATAAGCCGAGAGTCTACAGTCGGGCTAGCAGCTCAGTGAGGCTGGACTGATGTGCTACAGCACCTTTGAGTAAATGATAGAATAGATGTGAAGATAGTTCAGCAGGTAGAATATTAAAAGTATTTTCTATATTAGTTTACCCGACACTACCTAGAACGTAACACAAAGAGCGCCTGTGGCTAAGAGGATTGTCATTATTTTGTCATCAGATATTATTGGATACAAGGAATTTTTAATATAATTATTGCTTGGAATGAAAAGACCTGGGATCACCAAAGTCTCAGAATAATACAATTTAAATGATGTAATATCTGTTCCAGATGACATTGGAATACGTCCAATTGTTTTTGAGACATTTGCTTTAAAACCACAAACGTGACCCCTTTCTGTGTAGAGTGAGCAGAGAATAACCAATAAATGATGGCAGTTGGGGTCGATCCGTCAGAAGTACACAAGTATGGCACGGACAAGAAGTCACAGTGACCCTGACCATTGACCACCAAAATCGAATGAGTTTCCTCAAAAATGGGACACTGACAGATGGATGGACAATTAAGAAATGTAATACTGCCTGCTACTGCTATCAGCAGTGCAGTGTTAAAACTGAATTCTGCAATTCTATCGAATAGGCTCTGAGACACTGACAAATGATATTGAAATCCAAAGAACCTTGCAGCTTAAGCATGTTTAAAAGGAGGCATTAAGGAGAGGCTGTTTTAGTTGTCTCCTCAGATTTCACCACTAAAGCTGGAACAATATGTAATTCAAGACATACTCCATTAGTTTTAAGCACACAAGCTACAATTCTAGGCAACATCACTCCTGTGGGCTAATTAAAGATGGCACATGTGGTTGTGTCGTCTACATGCTGTAAAATAAAACATTTGCAAACCTATCATTTTACCTGGCTCTTTGAGAAGGACCCAAGCATCCAGGTGGAATATTAATGCAAAGGCAATGAAAAGGAGTTTGAGTCATACTGTTATGAAACCAAAAAAAAAAAAAAAACAACCTTCTCGGTATGGGTGTCTGAACAAAACCCTGACCTTACTGCAGGCAAGCCAGGGAGGCATTCAAGTGCCTAAGGGAGTCATTATGCACTGGTTAATGACAACAGCACCGTCATGCTACACTGAGAAGGGTGTGGGTGCTTTTGGAGGTGTGGGTGTCTGGTAACAGGTGTTGTTTGGGACACTGCACCACAGTGTGGCTCAGAGGAGAACACACAGGAAGGTGGGACAGACCAAGGGCAGTCCTGAGCTTACAGGAATTACAGTGGACACACACACACACAGATGTGTATGTGTATTCATGCACTTGTAACAGATGTACACACACATACATAGGCAGAAAAACAGACGGATGAACACCTTCCTCCCAGCCTGCACCTCATCTGGGTGATAGCTATTTCAGGAAAGAACACAGCATTAGGACACACATCGCCTCGAGCTCTCCCCCCTGCCTCCCCTGGTACTTTTTTCCTTCTGGCCTTCCTCGTCACCACTCCTCTCCTCTCCTCTCCTCTCCTCTCCTCTCCATCAACATATCACATCTCATCAGTTCCGTCCTGTTTTCAATCTAGATAAAATCTTCCAACCTCTCAACCCTTTTTTGTCCCCTCTGTGTGTCTTTTTCCTCCCTGCAAACTTGGCTGTGGTACACCAGAGTCTTGTCTGGCAGACAAGGTTACAGTTAGTTAAGACTGGGGCGGCGGTCAGGCCACAGATTTAAACTACAACCAGAGAGCATGTGCTGAGATGGATGAGGGTAATCACAGAGGAGATGAGGAAGAGAGAAAGAGAGCAAGAAGAAATAAGCTAAAGGAGTGAAAAAAACCTTATTAGGAGTTGGGAGAAAGGATGAGAGAGAGGAATGGGCTCTGAATAAATGTGTCAGTGTGTGCATGTCCGCCAGCTCTAAGCAAACACACCACCGTCTATCTCAGGAGGAACAAAAAAGTGTCAGCTTGCCCTAAAACGATAATGATGATAACCAGCCCAGTTCTGTGTGTGTGTGTGTTCAGGCTAATGCTGACGCAAATACCCAGTTGGCTCATGGACACACCACAAAATGATTCTTTGGAGGTCCAAAGGCCGGGCTATTTACCAAAAAGAAGATATGATCTTTAAATCCTCTGCTGTTTAAAATTGAGTTTACATAATCCATTTGGAAATTTGTTCCTGTGTGTATTTCCATTACAACACTAACTGGGATAACATCTTCTCACAAGGACATCATCAAGAACGATCATGCAGTCATTCACTTCTTTAACCGGATATTTTAGGATTTAGACCTGGGTTTTGGATAAGGCTTATGTCATGATAACATTTAAGTTCTGGAGTCAAAGGTAGACTTTAGCTTGGGAGAATTTCCTATTTTTCACAATAAAAGAAAGTTTAAAAAAGTCAAGAAAGAAAATATTGTTCAGCTCAAGTAATAGCTGTACATGGGATTAAACCATGCTAAATGGTGTAGTTTTAGAATCTTCTTTTGTGACTCATTTTGTTATGCTTTTGGGATCAAGAAGAAATCATAAACTTGGATTAGTTTGGGATTTCCAATAAGGTGATTTGGTTGTTGTAATTCTATTTTTCAATATTATATCGGAAATTCAAATCCAATAAATGCATTTTTCTGAGATTTCAAGTCCCTTGATTCTCGTTAAGCGTTAACTAAAAGGTTTTCCCCCGATCCCACACAAGTATTTCCATCATGCAAGTGTCTCATTGGAAAATAGTCATTTATTAAAGAACTAAACAACAAAGTGTACTGCTAGAATTTAAACACCTTAAAGTTTCTTTTTCTAATGAAAGGCTTATAAAACCAAGCACTAAAACTTAAGGTGTTGTGTTATTGATAGTACATGGGTCCCCAGTTATAGCTTCCAAACCTAAAAGGATGCCTCATCTAAAAGTTGGTACTTGAACTCCTTAGAGTAACTTTAAAAAAGAAACTCACCTTTGATTTGATATAATCTAACATCTTTTTCATTAAAAATAGAGGCAAGAAGTTATCTTAATTTTCCATATTTTCGGGGGGAGCTGCCTCTTGATCTCATTCAAACCAGGTAATAAAGTTATAGTGGGATAACACAGCTAGACACGCAGAGACAATTAATGAAGGATATCATTATTGTACGACTCTGGGTAAGAGGGAAAAAACCTCCAAAGTTATAAGGAAAAGGGAATGTCAGGGTTTATGTATCTATAACAACGGACTGAATCCATGGTGTCACTAATATGAATGTAAGTCAATTTGCATTATAGAAACAATTGTCAATTGTCCCAGGGAAGACCTGACCCCTGTTGAGTCCTCTCCTGTGGGGCAGAGAGAAGTTCTTGGGGTCCAACCCTCTTGGGCCCAGCTGAAGGGAAATTGTTTAAAATGTGTTTACCTGCATTTTCTGCGCCCGCCGCTTGTCTGCTCTCTGGTTCTGGTGATAGATGCGGCTGAAGTTGGACACAATGACAGGGACAGGCAGGGCGATTACCAGCACCCCACTTAGAGAGCAGATCGAGCCGAAGATCTTCCCTGCGATTGTCTTAGGAACCATATCTCCATATCTGTGAGGGGAGAAGGTGGAAGTGGGAAGAAATGTAGTGAAATGTTGTATTATACATTGAATAAAATCAGTTTCAAGCTTTAATTGTATCACATGACTGGAGATCAGGCAGGCAGAGACACACACAAAGTCAACCACTGAACTAGCTGCCCATTCATTTCTTTCGTGCAAGACTTCCATCTTTCTTTCTTAAGGCCTGCTTTTCCAAACACAAACTGAAAGGGCCTGCTGACTTTATCCCACCTCAAGAGAGAAAGAGAGAGGCATCTACCAAACCTGCCCTGTCACTGAATGGCACAGTAACATCCCCAGACTCATTCCTTACAGCAGATACTATTAACCTTTAGAGAAAGGCTAGAGGACAAAACGTGGATGCCAGGGACATTTCACAAAAGCCATTTGGCCCAATTCAATCTAAAATTTTTGCAAGTCAAGCGCAATCTTGTCTTGAGTTCAAAAACAGACGACACAATTACAATAACTATATTAAAACAACCTCTTTTAGCCTGCCTAAGGACGTAGCTTAGCATGGAAATAACAGGGAAAGAAAAAGAAGACTGAGTAGAAGAAACTCAAAAGCTGAAAGAGCCTGAGTTAAGTTGGAAAAGCAACCCCTACTCCTAATGATGTTCATTTCTTATTCATGGGTAAAAAGTGCAGGTAATATGTTCTTGTTTTGCAGCTAAACAAGAAGTTCTACTGAATTTATTTGAATTGACTTAAAGTCTGGCTACAAATAAACCTTAAACAAAAGCTTTTCACCACTGAGCATTGCAGATTGATATGTTTAAACTGCTGTGAAAATAATTCCTTATCAGTAAGGTAGCATTACAAAAATAAATCTAGCAGTAAAGTGTATTAACCTGCAAAATAAATAGCTAATCCCAGGTAAGTATTGTGTTTCTTCTGTTGAATTTGTTAAAAAAAAAATGTGATTCTAAAACTGTATATTTTCTACATAGCACGTGTGCAATTAGGATTATGTTCCATGGACACACTCATTTGTGAACACATCGTTTGCAGGTATGCAGTTTGGTTGGTGCTGAAAGGCTGAGAGGGAAAAAAAATCACAGCAGACGCCAAGCCAGGAAGACAGCGACAAAATGGTGCAAGGGAATATGTCTCTTCTGCGTCTCGTCATACTCAGCCAAAAGCTATGTGACGTGTCAGGGGCAGAAAAAAGATTACACAGATATGCTGGTTTCTCTGACATCCACGTTGAATAATTCACATACAGGAGGATTTTAGAGAGGTAAGGCTACTGTAGTAGAACTCTTAAGTACTTCTACTTTACTCTATAGTTAGTAGTTGCTGTTCTGATGACAAAAATCCTGGAATATAACACATACAATCATATGAATCCAAAAAAGTGTTGTAAATTTAACTAAACATCCTATCTGAAAACATGTAAAATAACCTTTAGCAAAGCCAGCAACAACCTTAAAATGCTGTTTACATTTTATTTCATCAGTATAATAACCCATTAAGGTGTTAACTAATCATCTTACCCTGTTAAAGCTTATATTTCCTGAATAATGAGTATTGTAAGACTTAGCATACTTTCTTTCTAGATCTTACAAATCTACGGATACAATTTTTGACTGCATGCCTTTTACTTGTGTTACCTTTTATTTCACACTGTTAGTATTCATAGTGCTAACTTTAACAGTTATGCTTAAGAAAATAAGAAACAGAGTTACATCAACATCTTTTAAAAACATTTTTGAACAAAAGCTGTATATAGTAACCCTCAACAAGGTCAGTTATATTGTTTAAGCTTGGTCTGTGTAATAATCTGGCAACAGAGTGTACATGGACAATAAACAGAAAGTCTAGATAGAAATTCTCATTTTGTGCATTTTCTCTGAAAATTCCTCCGTCTAGATCTGTCATAAAAAATAGATTCATCACTATATCGCAGGCAGCCACATTCTTTAATGGATACTGATGTCACAAAGAAACAACTGCCTCGGCACTGTTCCCCTGATGCATCTGTAATGTATATCATAGGTCCCTGTAGACTTGACAGTGTGCAGAAGTAGTCAGTCAACCTGTTGCTGCTGCTAGGCATGCATGCATATTCAAAAAGTCTCATACGCACGCACGCACGCACGCACGCACGCACGCACGCACGCACGCACGCACGCACGCACGCACGCACGCACGCACGCACGCACGCACGCACGCACGCATACACAAAACAAGTTGAGAAATTGAAAGTTAAAAACAGGAACATTCATTGACATCTTCTGCAAAAGTTGTTTCAGGTCCTGAAGATATCCAGAAACACATTTCTAAATAGCGCTCATCCGTTTCATTCATTTTGACAGATCACTGAGAGAGCTGGTTGTTGTTGGTTTTTTTTGGGGTTTCTTTTTTTTTTTTTTTTTTTTGGGGGGGGGGGAGCTTGGCAAACAGAGCCCCAGAGGCTCTTCATAAATGAACAATAATCTGCTCTTGTGTTCACGATAGTGGTTCTATAATCTAATGAAGCACTTCTGTCACAGTCTGTTGGAGATGGTTAAACGCACTCACACAAAAGAAGACACACAAACACACACCCAAAAAAAGCCATTCAGTTCATTCTGGGGAAGGAGATGAAACAAGAGATGGAACCTTAGAGTCATTAGTCAGGAAATTCAACAAAAACAAGCGCAATATGAAGCTCTTTAAGAGGAGGGTGGTTTTCACATCAACAAAACAAAGCACTGCCCACACACAGTGAAGCTCTGGTCCACATCCATAAGTGAGAGTATACTTACAGAGCACATTCATCGTCCACAGCAACCACTTTAATGGTCTTTCTACCCAAATTAGGCAATAACAATTCCATCAGCAGAACAGGGGCCCTATAACTACAAAACATTTCATCTCCCCCCCCTCTTCAGACAATGTTTCCATTAGGAGGAATGAAACGCTAATCATATTTATCTGCAAGTCTTTTTTAATGGGACCATATCAGATCGCCAGATAGAGGCCCTTCTCTCCTAATACTACAGTCAATTTGCCGCTCCCATTTAGTCAAGCTGGCCTGTCTCTGATGATACCATCTCTGAGCCATTATACATGGCACCAAGATAAAGCTGCAAACGCACACATTAAAGAAAGTGAAAGCTATAATAGGTGGCGCGCATGTGTGTGTGTGTCTGTTAGCGATAAGTGAGGCAGAGTGTTTGTTTTTATCCTCTCCTGCGTGGGGGAATGGTGGGACCGTTTTGACTCCTCTGAACTTAGTGATGGAGAGTGAATGGAAGAAAGTGAAAGTTAAAAAAAAAACTGGATGGAGAGACATTTTCTCAGCAGACTCTTCCCAGAGCACCAGGAAGCTTTTTTTTTGTATGATGTCTCCATCAATCCTCTTTCTCCGTCCTAAACAACATTCTAACACACGAAAAAATCTGATATGAATACTGAAATCTGATATGAATACTGAAATCTGATATGAATACTGAAATCTGATATGAATACCGATACTAAGATAAGATGATGTAAGATACACTTTTATTCATCCCACAACGGAGACATTTACCGTGTTACAGCAGCAGAGAGCAAGGACAGCCAACAAAAAAAAACACACACACACAATGAACACAGTGAACAATTAAATCAATAAAAAAACAATAGATCAAATAGTTGAAGAGCCAACAAAAGAGCTGCAGTTGTAACAACATTTTGTCTGTATATTCAGTGATAAGAACACAAGTTGAACACGTTATTGCACAAGTGGTTCCATATACTATTGCACATGGCATCAGGTAGTAGGTTACTAGTAGTAGTTTGAAAACTGGTATCAATATAATAAATATCTAATGATTCTGGTATCAGTATAATAATAATAATAATAATCTACTGAAACTGGTATTAATATAATAAACATCTGAGTCTGATACATATCTGGTACTGAATAGTACAAATAGAACAAATCTATATAATAATTATTTTCCTCTTATTGGGCCAAAATGTCAGTATTGGTATCTATGAGCATGCTTCAAATGCACTGATCCAGTACCATTACAGCTTTACATCCAAAAATCCAACTTTGACTTTGCAGCAAAATAATGTTTGAAAATAACAAACAACAGTGTGATGCCAGCAGAAGGTCAATCAAAGCTTGCAAAAAAGAAAGCAATCAGTCGCCTCTCAGAACTCCTGTCCCCATATCAGCCGGTGAGAGATCTTAGGTCATCAGCACAAAACCTTCTGTCACTGCCTTGATCCAGGACAAGGTGCAATGGGGAACGGGCTTTTTCTATTGCAGGACCAAAACTGTGGAACTCTTTGCCCCCAGACATCCGTCTCTCTCCCACTATTGGTGTTTTTAAAACTCGCCTTAAGACATATTTATACTCAATCGCCTTTAACGTTCAGTAACCCATCAAACACAAAAACCATAGCTCTGTTAGTCTTGTGTTACACTGGAATTAACTGTCACTTGTTCTTTTCTTTTTTATTGTTGCTGTTCTTGTCTGTTACTTTCTAATGCTTTGTTTCTGCAATGTTCAGCACTTTGGATCAACTATGTTGTGTTTAAAGTGCGATATAAATAAAGTTGAGTTGAGTTGAGTGTTTTCCATAAACAGTATGTGCATCTTTTAATTTGTAATTTTAGCCTATTTGTATTCAAGTTGCATTTAGTTCAGTCAGCACTCAAAGTTATTTTAGTTGCTATCTGGGGGGAAAAGTGGTGTTGTTACATCTTGATTTCTTTTCCCATATGTTGTATGTATGTCCCTATACACACTTTCAAAAAAAATTCAGGTCAGGTTGGCAGGTCAATCCTCGGTCAAGGTTGTCACATCCCATCACACCAGGGCCAGGTCTCAGTGGGTTGTATTAATAAAGTCTAGGAAGGATAGATGACGGTCTGGGGAAAAGAAAGGGAGAGGGCAGGGGGGTTCTTGAGAGTGACTGAGTTCTCTTGTGAGGTCATGTGTGATGGATGGGTTTATCAGAGATGGTCTGAGAGCTGACAGAAACACAGATTTGTGATGATGGAAGTTC